CAATTAATGCTAGAGATCCCTCTACCAACCTTGTCCAACTAATGCTGACCAAAGAGGACCTCACTAAATCTGAACTGGGGAGATCTATAGACCACACTGAACACTCAAATACTGAGGTATAAGTTAAGTTCAAGTAAGTACTGTTGTCAGCCCAACAATGAAAAAGAGACCCTCAAGTCTTGATAGCTATAAAGCCCATGAAATTATGAAAAAGGATCTGGACCTGTTGAATGTATTTACACTAAATTTGCTTATTTATCCTTACATGAGCCTACTGGACCATCCACTCAAGCCTTTTCACGAGATCCCTCTTAAAGAATCTCTCTCAAGTGCAGAGCAAGATTTCTTGATAGGAGGCAAGTAATGACAGTAAACCAGGCAACCTCCTCTCTTAAAAATCAAAAGAAGGCAGCGAATACAGCCCAAATGCCTCCTTTTAAGCGATGAGTGTTTTTGCCTGAAATTGCAGACAATTGGTCAGATTCTGTAGTTCTCAGAATAAAGGCCCTTGTAAAACAATATAATCCTTTTCTGACTTTTCTCTCAGAAGCTAATGTTCAGATAGAAAAAATGGAAGTTGTTTTGAAGAATATAAAATTCTCAAACTTCATCATTCATGAGCCACTGAGATACAAAGGAAGGCTATGCATTGGCTGCATAAAACTGAGAATCCTAAATGGGAAGTTTCAGGAATCTATGACCATCTGGTTGTCACGAAACAAAAGACCTTTATTGCTAAGCTACTTCTATTAGGTAATATAATCCATCTTCCTCGCTTCTCATGGGTGACTTTAACATCACTTTAGTGGATCACAAACGCAATTTCCCCGCAAGGAACCTGGAAGGTAATTCTGACTTATTATTTGGAGATAGTTAATTCTCTAGAACTGATGGATCTAAGCTATACTGGTAAGCCATGAACATAATATTAGAGAGTAAAGAAACTCAGAAAAGTGAAGTAGAAGAAGAAATTACTTCTTTATTTATTGATTCATGGAGATATAGCTCTCCTAGCATCTTTATATACAAAACAGAATACTAAAGCTACCTGCTAGTTCATCTAAAACTGAAACTACCTGCCAGCTCATCTAACTAATTTTAACAACAGCTGACTCAGCATAACAATTCTACAAGCCACACAGATAGGAGGTTGGACTTCCTAACAGTAAGGTTAGATGGGAGTTTACGTTAATTAACTGGATAAACCTATTAGCAGATTGTAAAACTTCATCATTTGCAGACAATTTTCTCTGATCATTCTCCTTTGCTTTTAGAATTAATGTTAAGCCTGGCAAAAGTAAGCTAATCAGATTTGAAGAGGTATGGTTGCGGGATAACACTTGTTGGAAAGTGATAGAAGATGCTTGGGAATATTGGCTCCAGGGTTCAAAGCATACATCTGTCACAGAAAATCAAGAATGCTAGGAGAGCCTTAATGCTATGGAACCAGAAGCAATTTGGTCATATTTAAACCAAAATGAGGACAACAGGAAGACTCAAATTCATTAAACAAATAGATCCAACTGGTTCCAATTTGGTTAGAGAAGCAAAACTCCAATTTAAAAGACTGGAAATGATGAAAAAAGAAGAGATTTTACGGGAATGAAAAGCCAAAAAAGACTAGCTTGAGCAAAGGGACCTTAATACTAAGTTTTTCCATGCAACTGGAATTGCAATGAAACTTGGAAATGCTATTTAAAAGATTGAAGATGATTCTGGTAATACTTGCACAAATAAAGGGGATATTATAGTTCTTTAAGCTGAAGAGAATGCAACGGCCATACGAGTCCCAAGGAAACAAAAAATTCTGGATACTATTAAAAGTATTGGGGCTCGTAAAGCCCTAAGCCCAGATGGAATGCCAGGGCTGTTCTATCAGGTCTTCTAAGATACAATCAAGAAGAAAACAGTTGAGGCTGTTCAGAATCTTTTTGGACTTAGATCAATAATGCGGAAGATCATTCCTATGTAATTGCCTTTTGTCAAAGGCTGGAGAATTCAGGAGAACGCTATAATAGCACATGGAATGATCCATTCTATGATAAAGAAAAAGAGCAAAATAGGTTGAGTAGCTCCAAAACATGACATGGAAAAGGCTTCTAAAGGAGTTGAATGATATTTTCTTTATCAAATCTTAAGGATTTTGGGAACTCCAAAAGAGGTCATGACATGCATCAACAGTTATTGTGTTTGGTTCAGGCAGAAACTAAATAGAGAGAAATCCTCAATTCTATTTAGCAAAAATTTAAGGAAACAAATGTAATATTCCTTTAAGAACTTTGCACTGGTAGGGAAATTCAAAACCGAGCTAGCTGGTTATAAGAGCAACTTTCTATCCACTGCTGGTTGATCTACCCTAATCAAGATCAAAAGAAGGCTTCTCATTATGGATGGCTCTCCGGAAATAAAAAATTTAGGAACAACAAAAAAGTACTATGGTGGCGTCTCCTGAACAAGTCTCTTCCAGGTACCAAATTCAGAACAATTATGATGCTCATGAAGTTCGGCTACAAACAGCAAACGAAGTAATAACTCATATATACTGTGATGCCGTGATTAACGAGAACACAACAACAATTTCTTGTATTTTGGAAACCAAAAGTAAGGATTAATGGCATACCTAACACAGACCCTTTATACCGAAAGCTAAAATAAATTGTCTTCAGTCCCCGTAAAGCTTTTGTGATCGGCAGACGGCTGTCCAGACGGCGATTCACAGTGGGAACCCTCATATTGGAGGATGGAAAATATCCTACATGAAATTAGGACTCCGGGGAAGAACTTTGCTTTTTTTTGTTTTGGTTGTAATCAGATGGACCTGACAACATAGTATTAAAAATGAACTTCTAGTATAGTCTAGTTTCAATTGATTTTTAATTTAAAAGGTGGTAAAAAAATTTGTTTTCTTATTTTAAAATATTATATAGATTAATTTAGATTAAAAATTATTTAGTTTAGTTGGTCTAGTGTGATTCAGTCTTTGCTTAATACTTATGTTGATTTGATTATCAATGTAAGAATTTAATATGAGTTTTTTATATGGTCGAATCCAATTAACATAGAATAAACACTTGTAGTTTTAGTACCTAATTGCTTCTATATTTCTCCGATTTCATGTTAATGATTTGGTTACTAGAACACATCCTTTAAGGATATTGTTTATGGGTGTGTTTCTTTGTTTCAGAGATTAGGTTTGGTGGTGTTATATTCAATTTTTTTTAATATTTCATCTAAAGCCATAGTAATCCTTAGGTTTTAAGTGTCTAATTTAATTTATTGATTTTCTAACTAACAGTTAGAACATGATTAGTGGAAATAGGCTTAGAGAGTTACAACATTAATGGTTATTAGGAATTCTTCTAGTAGTAGATTCAATCATTAGTTTTGTTATGAATTATTATGGTTAGTTCTATTTCTTGTAAGCACATTTTATGTTCCTAAGAATTCAAGTGACTACTCTTAAGTATGGCCTTAAGATATGCCACTAGTTTATTACGCTATCATTTCCTCTTTTTGGTTTGAAGAGAGAAATTCTCTAAGTGTGGTGATTAGGGTTCATCACGCTTCCGTTGCACCACTATGATAACATAAATTTCGAAGGTTTGACTTGATAATGACTTGTTGTGGTGAGGGTTCACTAAGGTCTTACTTTTTATTTGCAGAAATTTTACTTAGAAATGATAGGAACTCTTATAAGGAAAGATTTTAGTTAGGCGTTGCTTATTTTATTTATTAGAATGGTTTCCTATCTCCTAAGCATATGGTTATTCAACTTCTTAGGATTTTGAATTGTTATTATAATCTAATGCGGAACTAGGACAAGAATTTTGGAACAATGAGGGCATATGTTTTTTGTAAAGGAATTCAAAGAGAATTATTAAAAAAACTGGGATGGTTTTTTGGCTCCTCAAGAATATAAGAATTGTTGTTAAAGTGTATTTAGTTGGGGAATTTTCTCTTGTTCTTGGAATTTTTTTGTTCCTATTGAGACCTTTTCCCACATGAGAGAATTTATTTTTTGATGGAGGTATTTTCTCCTGGTAGGGGATTTTCTCTTGCTTGGGGAATGTTT